CCCACCCTCCCACCCCCCGACCCCCACTGCTTGTCCTCAGAACCGGGTTCCTTTTTCTCCCCTGTCCCCTCCTCTCCCTTGCTGCAGACTGCACAGCGCAAGATCAGGGAAATTGTACAACAGGTGAAGCAGCAGGAGCAGAAATATCCTCAGGGAGTCGCCTCACAGCGCAGCAAGTGAGGCTCCCACAGGCACCAGCAAAACAACGGATGAATGTAGCCCTTCCAACACCTGACAGAATGAGACCAAACACAGCCAGCCAGCTCGGGAGCAAACCAAAGACCATCCTGAGGAATGAGAAGTCTGCGGAGGCACCGGGGACTCTGCAGAGGCCCTGAGAATCCCAGGGGCCAGGAGGATGGTGGGAGGTCAGACCGGGTCCCTGCCCGGCCTCCTGCCTCCCCCAGGGCCTCTGCAGGCTTCCCAGCCATCCACTGCACCATCCACTCGGATCTCTCCTTACCTCCTACAACGCTATCCCTTTTAGTTGAACTAACATAGGTGAACGTGTTCAAAGCAAAGCAAAATTCACACCCTTTTCTTTTTGTGGAAATTGTCTCTGTACATGTGTGTACATATTAGAAGGGAAAAGATGTTAAGATATGTGGCCTGTGGGTTACACAGGGTGCCTGCAGCGTTAATATATTTTAGAAATAATATATCAAATAACTCAACTAACTCCAAGTTTTAATCAATTATTAATTTTTTTTTCTTTTTAAAGAGAAAGCAGGCTTTTCTAGACTTTAAAGAATCAAGTCGTTCTTTGGGAGGTCTAATGGTTTAGTAAGGAGCTTCGAGACCACCCACACAAATTCACCCGAGGGGAATCTCGGAAGGACACTCACAGCAGTTCTGGACCACCTGTGTATGTCAACAGAAGGGATACCGTCTCTCTGAAGAGGAAACTCTGTCTCTCTTCATCCCTGTCTAGCTCACACACCCATTTCTCTTTGCTTCACAGGTTTTAAACTGGTTTTTTGCATACTGCTATATAATTCTCTGTCTCTCTCTGTTTATCTCTCCCCTACCTTCTCTCCCTCCCCTTCTTTTCCATCCCCATTCTTTTTAATTCCCTCATCCCTCTTTCTCAATTCCCAGTATCTACGCACCCCCCCAGGCAAAGCAGTGCTCTGAGTATCACATCACACAAAAGGAACAAAAGCGAAACACACAAACCAGCCTCAACTTACACTTGGTTACTCAAAAGAACAAGAGTCAATGGTACTTGTCCTAGCATTTTGGAAGAAGAAAACAGGAACCCATCAAACCAACCAACCAAACAAAGAAAAATTCCACAAAGAAAGAATGTATTTTGTCTTTTTACATTTTGGTGTATAAGCCATCAATATTCAGCGAAATGATTTCTTTCTTTAAAAAAAAAAAAAAAAAAAATGGAGGAAAATAGCAATTTACACGAGGTCGTTGGCCCAGGGCGTTAAATTTACAGATTTTTTTAAACGAGAAAAACACACAAAAAAAGCTACCTCAGGTGTTTTTTACCTCAGCACCTTGCTCTTGTGTTTCCCTTAGAGATTTTGTAAAACTGATAGTTGGAGCATTTTTTTATTTTTTTAATAAAAATGAGTTGGAAAAAAAATAAGATATCAACTGCCAGCCTGGAGAAGGTGACAGTCCAAGTGTGCAACAGCTGTTCTGAATTGTCTTCCGCTAGCCAAGAACCTATATGGCCTTCTTTTGGACAAACCTTGAAAATGTTTATTAAAAAACAAAAAAACAGAAAAAAAAAGATGACAAAGAAAAACAGAGAGAGAAAATATTGGAGATGTCCTGAATTTCAATAGGGTACGCGCCATTAGGGCTTTTTGCGCTAAAGGATGAACATGTACTGGTTTATGTGAACAAGCCATTTTACCACCAGACTGCAATGCCAGTTTCCTCTACTGCAAACAGTGTTCTGTGACAAAAACAAAAAACAAAAACAAACAAACAAAAAAAAATGAAATATATCCAGCTAACAAGATCCTGGTGTCTTGGTCTCTTATTTTACTAAGCATTGCCTGTCCCAAAGTGTCAGCCGAATTCCAGCTCTGAAGGACTTAGGGGAATGGGCAGCCATACTGAGGAGGCAGGCTTCTCCAGGGCACTTTCTGGAAGAAGCTAAACTAAGTCAGTGGTGCTTAAAGTGTGGCCCCCAACTGGCAACATCAGTATCACCTGGGAACTTGCTGGAAATGCAGATTCTCGGGGTCCACCTTGAATCAGGAATTCGGAGGGGCCCCTCAGTCTGCTTCAGCAAGCCCTCTGGGTGATTCCTGTGTATGCTAGAGGTTGACAGCCATGGAACTGGAGGGACGGACTGGCTGCGTGTCAAGGTAGGTAAGGCCAGCCCCTAGCTTTAGGGAACTGTAAACCTGGCCAGCACGGAGTTGATTTTTATGTGGGGGAGTGCAAGAGCATAAAATGGCTGACAATTCAAGGGAAGAGGTAGTCATCCCTCCCCAGAAGCCTAAATTGTAAGTATTCCAGGAGATCAGACAGGCAGGGGTAACGTTGGATTGGAGGGCGGGGGGTGCGCTGTACTGGACACATGAACGTGTTGTGAAAAGGTTGGAGGGAACGGCCCTGCTCCGTTTATGAGCCTTCGTTCCTAGACCTGTGGGGTCTACTAGAAATTGATGCTAGCAGTCCAAGCAATCTTAGGAATTGCGGTGAAACTTGACTGCCAGTGGGGGTCAGTCAGGCTTTTGGGGGTGATTGTTCAGGGCACAGCAAGGACAGCTGGAGGGGAGCTGATGGGACTGCAGAATAGCCACGTCCCCCTTGCAACAAACTTTGAGGGCTCTCAAATCACTTAAAATTTGTTCCTCACTGATGTCCTGTCCCCATTCCCCACTGTCTCAGAATTCCAATTTCTGTGATGCTGTTTGTACTTTTAAAGTTTCTGGCACAACGATGCCAGCTGATCCCCTCCCTGCTATGGCTGGCACGCATACAGGCAGGAACAGACTGTCCATTCCTGTGGCTCCACCATCCCTCCTCCTCCATTTCAGACTCCAGCCCATTGCCCTCTCAGAGGGAGAAATCAACCACAGGTTGACAGTGCGAGAGAAGCCACAGGGTTATTTCTGAAAGCTGTGCCCTGGGTTGAGGAGTCTTTCTTAGATGAACAGAGAAACAGCACGTTTAAAGGGCTTTAAATATAGGCCCATGGGCCTGGTAACCATTCCATCAAGATGAGAAATCAGGGTGAGAGAAGACACAGGAACCTCCAAAATGCACTCTTAGCTCTACTTCTCTGGTTGCATTCCTTGGCCTTTAAAATTGCAGGTGGCACAATCTGAGTTTTAACTCTAGTTCCTAAACTGCCCGTTTGCACAATCGTCCCTGAACACGTGAGAGAAAGGGAAAGGAGTCCTGAGGTGATGCCTGCCCTGCCCCGGTACAAAGCACCCGGAAGTTGTCCTGGGGTTACAGAAATGAAGCGGAGGTCACATGGAGAGGCAGAAGACCGGAAGGAGACAACTGGCCTGGTTCCTAAGCAAAAACGTTCTCCCCACAACCCATTTTCTGAGAACCCCAGTGCTGGATGAAATGCTATCCCACCTTCCTGTAAATAACAGCTTTGCGGGTATGTACTGGACCCTGATTAAGTAAATGCTCGCCAAATGGGCGTGAGCTCAGACTGTTGCAAACTTTGTATCCATTTTGAATCCCAGACTTCCTGTCTTAAGACGTCCTGACATCCCAGAAAGTCCTAATTGCATGATTTTATGCAAAATAAAGGACAGTTGTTAAATGGAGACTTAGTCAATAACAGAGGGGTTTCTTCATTAGCCTGCACTCGAAAAGCGCTCCCCCCACTCCATTACCTTGAATTGAACCTCTTTAAAACCCATGACCCATAGTGGTTTTGAAGGTACTAGCATCTCCCTAGACTGGGTGAGTAGCCTTGAACATCCCTTCTGCCCTGGTTACATTTCCCTCTAACTAGGCTTCTAGGTGTTCTTGTTTCCTCCAGCATGGAGCTCTGGAAAAGGATGACAGAGATTGGTTGCAAATTAGCAGAGGGGTCCGGCATGGAGGGGGAGCTTAAAAACAGGAAAAGAACCCAGAGAAAAGTTTGGAGGGGTTTTGACAAGGAATCAAAGGAAGTGATTAGCCTAGGACAGAAGGAAGGCATCCTGACAAGAGGCGAGGAGGGGAGAAAACACGGACTTCTAAGGGAATAACCTGGCACCAAGTGAGGATGTGAGCGACTCAGTGACTCAGCAGACTGGTGGGATGAGGACGTGAAGAGTATGAAAAAGAATCGGGCCTCATCTTACTCCTACACCTCTGGGGAAAGATGCGGGCAACAGCGGTGGGCCCAGGCTAGCAATTAATGAAAGAAGCCCACAGTGTATATTTTGAGAGACTAGCCTAGCCTGGTGTACGCGCATTCAGATCTCTGTCTTAAAGGCTCCGGAGGTTTCTTTGGCCTGCTAAGCACACGCGTCTAGTAATACTATTAGCATATCCCCCAGTCAGTTGTCACTGCTGCCTTTTATTTCCTTTCTACATTCCCCTTAAGGTGCTGCTGAATCGGAATTTAAAATTTTCCCCATATGCAGGTTAATTTTCTATTCTAGCTCCCATCAGCCACAGAGTCACTGTCTTTCTAGAAGCTGGGATTGCTCTTAATAACTCTTCCTCTCTCAGAAACAGCAGGCAAGAGCAGGATACCTCGTAGAACAAAATTATATTCTACCTTGATCTCAGTACCCTCTGTAGTCTTTTGTAAAAGCAGTGATTCAGTGATACATCCCCAGGCACTTGGTTTGTTTCCATTTTAGGGCACTGCCTCTCATCTCAGATACAGCTGACCATAAAGTGACGAATATATTCATTTGTCCCCAATAACCTCTAGTGATCAAACTATGAATGAAAAACTAAACAGTCTGATCCCTATCAGTTTATCTGTAATTTCAACAGTTTCCGATATGAAAGATTCAGTGACTTCTATGACTCATGAATGTCCCTGCTTCTCCCATAGTTACGAAACTGCTTCCAGTCACCCTCTGTGAAGTCAGTAAAACCTATCCTTTAACCCTGGATTCACAGAACAGTAGTCATGGCAAAGGATCTTAGAGATCACTCAGTCCTCTTGACTAATGTAGAACATGAGTCATAGAAAATCCTCAAATCTCTCTAATAGCTGAAGGCACCATGGGGGAGGGGGC